GTCGGCCACCAAAAAAGCCAGTGGCAGGCAGCAGGGTATCCCTGCTGTTCCAGCTCTGTCTGGCTGGAGTGGCACAACTCTGCCTGTCCTTCCTCTGTTTAAAGGAGAAAAGGATGAGGGAGGAAGCAGGCAGAGGGCACAAGGAGCTCATAATGAACTCCCAGGTCCCAGCTAATGTGGTGCAGATCAGGTGGACAACAAATATTGAGGCAAATGTGCAAGCTCAGGTCTTGATTTAAAAAATATAACTAACTGCTTTACCTCTGAGCTGCAATAAGCTAAGGGTTCACCTGAGGGCTAGGATCTGTTCCTGGGAGCATGTTGCACAACTGTCTCTAGTACACCTCCAAATTTCCCAATCCTTACTGCTTTAAAACCACTTTGTTTATTATTACTAAATGCTTGCAGAGAAACAAAGCACATACTAAATACTCTTTAAAAAAAAATGTTTAAAGAGAAAATGGAAGATTGTTTCATTCTCACACCCATACCTGTAATTCAAGATGCCTGGCCCTGATTACTTTGTATACAATAACTGCCTTGTGTATGTAACCCAAGGGCCTTGGCTAATGTTAGAAAGTTTATTCCAGTCATCAGCAGCTTTTTTTGTATGTTTGAGTCATTAGAATAATGTACAGCAGAGTGCTGTGGTAATAATATGGTTATCATGATCCCTCTAATAATTGCTTGAGAGTTGAAGACAGAAAATAAAGTAGCAGAACTTTTGTGATTATGTAACTCCTAAGGCAGGAAGACAGTCAATGAAAAGGATGGTTTAAGTTGCTCAGAGGAAAGTGCAACAGGTCTAAACACTGTCACATGCCAAAGATGGAGAACTTGAAAAATTATTACTGCTTATTGTTAAGATGTTTATCTCCTATTAATGTGTTCCTAATAGTGCCTGTCAGCTTGGCAAGAGATTTGTTAACAGCAAGACTGTATGACCAAGTTTTGGGGCTACATGTGGGTGAAATGGGTCTTTGGCTATTGTTTAAAGAAAGGAAAGGAGGGGAAAAAAAAGGAAGCATTGTATTTTCCACTAACATTTGGGTCCTTGATTTGGGGGTGTGTGATTTCTAAGGTAATTTCTGCAGCATCTCATATTGCCAAGGACCAAATGTAGCCAAGATCAAGAGTCAGGTTTCTTGATAGCACTGCTGTGCTCTGTGCAGGTGTTGATTCCTCCCTTATTCACCTTTCAGCTGCATTTGGTCCATTGGAACGCCGTGGCGTACCCCAATTTCGAAGAGGCTGTAATGGAAGGCAACGGCTTGGCTGTTATTGGAGTGTTTTTAAAGGTAATTGCACTTGGTGGAATGAGCTGTGATGATGCCTTTTTAATTTTGATGAAACCCATTTAGAGCAAAATACCTCTAGATTGTTGTTGTTGTCCAAAAACACTAATACAGATAGATATGCAGAAGGTCAGCTGAATGACTCTCTCTCTCCTACGTGTCCCCTGCAGCTTGGAGCACATCACGAAGGGCTGCAGACCCTGGTGGAGGCCTTGCCAGCAGTTAAACACAAGGTAAGGATTTTTGAGCATCTGGCATAGCCAGTGCAGTCACTCAGCAGAAAGAATGCTTTGAGAAAAGCAACCCTAATAAATGCTTTCTGCATTAAGTGTCAGTAAGGGGCCTGACTGACACCTTGGGTGAACTGTTGATTATATTGGAGGCAGGAAGCTAATTTTTAAGTAGGAATTGTATACTTAAATCAAGATGTTTGGAAAGCTTAAAGCAATTATGCTCTTGAGATTGTATCCCTTACATCTTATCAATGCTTATCAATATCTAAAGGGCCCCCGGGGGGCAAGATGCTGGGAACTGACTCTTGTCAGTGGTGCCCAGTGACAGGACAAGGGGCAATGGGCACAAACTGGAACCCAGGAGGAGGTTCTATTGCCCAGAGAGGCTGTGGAGTCTCCTGCTCTGGAGAGATCCCAAACCTGCCTGGATGTGACCCTGGGCACCCTGCTGTGGGTGAGCTGCTGGAGCAGGGGGGTTGGAGGAGATGATCCCAGAGGTCCCTTCCAACCTCCCCATGCTGGGATTCTGGCATCCCCTTAGAGCTTGCACATATTTAATTCTTGCCCTCACTGAATCCCTGCTTCTGTGAAAACAGATGCCACTGGATTTGTTCTCATGTGTTGTTTAACTGGAAGGAACTTGCCATCCTATGTAAAGTAGTAGTTTTTCTTGCAGAATTAAGGCTTTCTGATTTTTGTTTGATCTTTGAGGCAAAGAATATTCTTTGCTTTTTTTTTTTTTCAAACACTGTATTTTCTACTAGGGGAGTGGGACTCTCTTCATGGCTCACTTCTGACTTCTGCCAGGAGAGGGAGTGCTGCGTCTCTGGGAGTGCTCAGAGCAGCTCACTGCTCCTCCAGCTGCCCATGTCTTTTTCAAAGTACACACAAAAAACGTACATCGAGAATTTTGCTGGCTTGTAAGCACATCCAGTTGAAGTCACTGTGCCATTTTTTATCGCAATAGGGATGTTTTTTTTTTTAATCCAAATAAATATTTATGGCAGTACAGTGGAAATTCTGCCAGATAAATGCCAAACAAGTCAGTTCAGTGCCAAAGATGACCTACAGAAATTTGTGAAGCAACATCTATTATGAGAATATAGTATTTTATATCATATGAATTTGGAAGAAACAAAAGTCAAGGTCTTTACAAAAGTCAAGATCTTTAAAAAAACCAAAACAAGTAGTATCAAACTTTAAGCTCATCCAGCTGCATGTAGGCTGCACTGAAAGGGCTCTCATCTCCACAGGGTGTTGGTCACCCAGCAACATAGCAGCACTTGGCTTAAAACATGAAAACCTTCCTTGCCTTGGGAGCATTACCACTGACTTAAGCACCAGAGCCTGAGGAACACCACCCTGGTAGGAGAAGGTCAAGGAAGGTCAGATAATGCCCAATCTGATTTTCCTCTCTCACATGAAGGGTGGAAACTCCCATCTAGATTCTCTTGTCCAGCTCCCTGGTTTTGAAAAGTTCTTGAATATTTCTCATTCTCAGTGGGGAACCAATGAAGCCTATTGAAGGAAAAAACAGGACCTTCCTTTCCTGCATTGCCTGGAAACACCCCAGGAGTAAAAGTTTGTGTAGGAGATCATGGTCTCTGAAGCTCACCGGGCTGTCTGAGAGCTCACTTGTGGGAGTGAGACATTCTGGAGATGTGAATACTTGCTGTGATTTAATTAAATTTTAGTCCTTTTCTCTCTCTCCCACTCCCTCAAATCACGTGGTGAAAAGTGAAAGCACAATTGTTTGTAGTCTATTTAGTGTATCTGGCAAAACTACCTGCACTTACTCCACCATTTATTCTTTCTTTGTCCTGTTTGCTTCCAGCTCCCACAGAGACCTAGTCTGTGAGTCCTTCACACTCCTCATTTCTTCTGCACTGAATTCCTAATGGCTTGTGGGGACAACAGAAATACTCAGATGTTGTCTGCTCACTAGCTGCCTCTAGTTCAATTTTGAACACATTTATGGGGTTTTAAATTATTATCTGTGAATCATCATAATATTCACCGAATTTTGCATATGTATGCATAAAGTGCAGTATTTAATCTCATTAAGATCTTCTTGTAATCTGCCAGGTTTTTGTCTCAAAATACAACTTCTAAAAACCTTTTTTTTTTTTTCTGGGGTTTAGGATGCTGTTATAGAGTTTGATGTTTTTGATCCCTCCTGTTTGATACCTTCCTGCCCTGATTACTGGACCTACGCGGGCTCTTTGACTACTCCCCCACTTACTGAATCAGTCACGTGGATTATTAAGAAGAAGCCAATCGAGGTTGATGAAAATCAGGTAAATCTCATCCTTGCCTTTCAAATCCTACCATAGCTGTTGGGCTGCCTGCTGCCATGGCTGGGAAGGTGCACAGGATGTGTTGCTGGTGAGTAATTCTCTGTGAATGCACAGAGATCAAGGGCTGCTTCACACCCAGGATTTGTTTTGGGGAGATATCTTGACATTAACAACAGCTAATAGAGAAATTTAAGACCTCTTCATTAAGCAGTTAAAGGTGTTTCTCCAGCTCTCCTATAGGTGTTTCTCCATCTGTGATAAGCAATGCTTTATGCTGGAAGCTGCCCCTTGAAAAACACACACACTTCCCCAGTGTTATTTCTTGGAACACTTCATAATTTTGCTCTCACCAGGATGGAGCCTCTTTTTTGTGTTAGGGAGGGAGGAAAAAGGGCAGGTTTTGTGAAATGCCAAACTCTGACCTTTTGGGCATGTTCTTGATAGCCACGTGCATTTGCAGAGAAATCTTGCAGAGCCTGCAAGGGCTAATCCTCTGTTCTTGCCTGGGGCCAGCTCAGAAGGCACAAGAAGGGATGGTGGGTGGCTCTGAGTCACATGCCATTCTGATGGTGAGAGATAGCAAGTCCCTCTTGGGTTTTCTCCTTTGCCTTTGTAGGCATGTTTACTCTATATTTGGCTGCACTGTCCTTGAATTCCTTTTCTTTTTTTATTCCCTTTAAAAAGGACAGAGAAGCAAAGGTTTCAGCAACTGTTTGTATTACAGGAGTTATTGCAAGTGAAGGAGTTTGTGGTCAGTAGTCTGTTCTGACACCAGCACAGCCTTGTCACCATATGCCCTCTGCTGCTTTTAATTTTAGTACTTTGTTTCAGTGTTTTGTTGTTCCTTGGTAGATGGAAGGACAAGCAGAAAATAGTCAGAAGAGCTTACTGGAATTGAACTACATTTGTGTGTTGTTTTGGAAGTTTTCAGGATTTTCTTGTCTATCCAAAGAGGTGGAGTACTTTGAGGGGCATTACAGCATAGAGCAAGTCTTGGAGATTGTTGCAAAGCAAGTGAAAATGAACAATTAAAAAAAAATCCAGTGTTTTTTTTTGTCCTTCCATGGTTTAAGAGGCACTGAAAGTTATCTGTGCATTGTCCCTGGTTTTCAGGGCTTTGAGTAATAAAGTTTGTGTCCAGTGTCATGGGTCAAGATACCTTTTTTTTTTTTAAAATATATTTTTTGTATGGAGCTAATCCATCCAGAAAGTCATGCTCCTAACAGACACTGACTGAAGAATAGGCAAGTATGTGGTCTTTGTTTTAGTTTGCATAAAGGAACAGGACAGGGAGAACTGAATGCTGTGTATCATTCTGCTTCTAAACTGAAAGTGTTTTTCTCTTTTTTTCTTAGCTCTTATTCACCCTCATTCTTTTATGGCATAGAAAGGCTCATAGTTTACTTAACATTGCAATGCCCTTGTGAGCATTAAAAGCTGATCTGCTGCATGCTTTATTTTAATCCCCAGTTAGAACCTCCTGAGAGCAACACTCATATAGATTGTTCTGCTTTCCTGTGGGCCAGCATATGCACGTCTGTATGAGGTAACAGAACTCCAGGAAGAGGTGTAGATTAAGGTTGGAGAGACATTTAAAGATAGCATGTGAGACTTATTTAAAGATAGCATATGTTCTAGTGCTTGAATAGGAATCAGTTCCATCTCAGACATGAAAGTTTGAGGTTTAGTTTGCCTAAAGATGGCAGATGACTGACAGTTTATCTCCTGCATTGATATAGATGATGGCATAATCTTTTCCAGCAGGTGACAAAGCAGCGATAGACATTCATGCTAAAACTTCTCAGAACGGAAATACAATAGTCCCTTTGTTTTGGGTGTTCTTCCCCAAGCATGAACGATTGTGTTTTGTCATGAACTCCAATCAAAGTCACAAAACTGGACATTTCTCCTCCTCAGCTGGATGCATTTCGGATGCTGCTCTTTACTTCCGATGGTGAGGAAGAGAAGAGGATGGTTGACAACTTCCGTCCTCTTCAGCCGCTGATGAACCGAACCGTCCGTTCCTCCTTCCAGAGCAGGCACCTCTTCAGCACTGAGGGGCAGCCCAAGGACCACGCCCAGCAGGGCAGGCCAGAGCTGGCCTGTGAAATGTCAGCCCAGACTGCTACACCTGCATCTGACTGACTGTTCTCCACCTGTTTCTCCTTTCTCTGCAGTGTGTGTGTGCTGTACAGTTTCACAGCCAGCCAGTTCGGTTCTGCCAAGCGCTAGGTGACCTTCAGCAGAGAAGCTGTGGGGGTTTTTAGACTTGCTTTTTTTAAAGAAGTAACTGGTATTAACCCTTAACAAATTGGCTTGGTTTAGAGCAGGGATCAATAAGGAATTATTTTGATAAAGGAAGAATAAGGGCAGGAGGTCTTTTTCCCTGCCTCTTTTCTGAGTTGTTCTGTGTATCTTCAAATGCTCTTTGGGTGACTTACATGAATTAATAATCCCAACTAAAAACATGTTAGCAAGCAGGACATGTGAAGAAATGAAGTATTAGTACTGATCAGGTCCTTTTATGGAATGATTTCAGGGGTTTGGGAAGAGAACTAGCTTCTCTAGTCACATAGAGACATTTTATCTTCTTCCTTTTCCCTTGGTCCTTAAGATGACAAGAGAAGGAAAAAAATGGCTTATAGAATTTAACCTCTTTCCATTCCATTGACTGCCTGATCCATGTTTGATATGGATGCCAGAGTGTGTCCACTCTACACCACCAGCCAGAAGACTTTCTCAAACCTTATAACAAATATAGAAGCTTTTAGCTTTGGCAGCTTTTACTTTTCTGTATTAATAATGCACCAGGAGAAGAGGACAGAAGAGAATCACTGATGTCTCAAGATGGGCAAGAGCAGCAAATTTGGTGAAAATGTCCAATTGATTCCAGAAGACTATCACATCAAAGGAAAGCAAAATTAGATAAGCTACAGCTGACCTTCTCAGTGAGATTTGGGGGAGGAAAAAAAAAAACTAGAAAAAACAATTTCTGAAACATAATCCAATGCTAGAAGACTAAGGACAAAAATGCAGCATTTAGATACATAGAAGATTTTTTTTTCCAGTGAGTCATAGAACACCAGTGCACTCTCTTCAAAATTTTGTCTTAGGATGTTCTTTTCTTATAAAAAGAGTTACCTAGCTTCAGGACAACTGGGGACCAGATTGTATTTATAGCACCTTATGGTAACAAAGTTAAGTGCTGGTTGAAATTTATTTGTGGACCAGACAAAATTGTTGTGTAAGCTGCCAGCTGTGGAGCCTTCTACTCAAAGGTCCAATTGCCACAAGTATTATCTACCTCTGAAGTGTTCTGCTAGCCATAATTTGCTCTTGAGCACCTTTTTCATTGGCTTTTTATGCTGTACTCTATTTAACAGCGTGCCTGTGCATGAAATTCATGTGCCCAATGTATGGTCAGATTTTCTGATGAGGACCAGGCCTGTCTGTAGACTCATGATGTGATCTCAACTGATTGTATTTGAGGAGGTTTCCTGGAGAACAGATGTTACTTGATCTGCTTCTGCCAGTAAGGACAGTCACTGGTTGCTGGTGTGATTCAGCACAAGTGGAGCCAGGACACTTGCTCGTCAATGCTAAATTCAGAACTTTAGAATCAATATTTTTTAAGTCCAAGTGTTTGGTTTAAAAGCATTTTTGCACTTTTTAATGTGACTCTGATTTTAAGTCTCTTTTGAATAGTCTCATCTAAGCAATTAAGTGCCCAGGTCCTGCCTTTGTTTCTTGAATAGCTCTACCTCAGGCTGTTGTTACCTTGCAACAGTTGTGCCTTTCTCCCTTGGCAAATTGAAATGTGGCCATTTAACCTCAGAGTGACTCTTTGTGGTAAATGTAAGAAAACCTCCCTTCTGTCCCAGTGCAGCATGCTGATTTTTACTGTGTAGGATGTTCACCATGGCAGCATGTCTCTTCAGTTTCATTGCCTCTCCCAAGCCCTTACTGCTCAGTTGAACCTCACTGTCTTGGTTGAACTCCATAAAACCATCCCATCTCTACCAGCTCGGTTGAACTACACCATCTGAATTGAACTCCACAGGCTTTGGCATCATCAGTCAGACTTTTTGCTGTGTTCCTGGTCTGCAGAACCAGATCAGTGATGCTTTTGCCAGAGAACGACAGGTTCCAAAATAATTTTTGGAAGGGATATCTACAGTTCTGGCAATAAGAAAAGAATCCTGTGACTTTGTGCCTGGATGTAGGTGATCTGGTCATGGTTAAGCTTTGAGGGCTTTGTTCAGAGTTCTTGTGAACACTTTGCAGAGGACCACTCCATAGGAAGATGGCAGTGATTCAGAACTGGCATTTATCTTGTCTGTCTTTGAGATTTTTGCTACTTATCATTAGCAGTTAGGACAAACTAATATAGTAACTTTAATGTTGCCTTCACATACACAAGTCTAGGCAGCACTAAGCTAGCTAGAGGTGGCCTGCATCAGCATCCCTGTTGGATGGGTCTTCTAAAAAGCTTCATGCAATTGCTCAAAGTTATTTAGTTGCCTTTAGTTTTTGTGTACCTCTCATCCACTGGGCTTATTTCTCTAGCTGATGGAGCTTTCCTAGCCTGTGCAAATATAAAAGAGGTATTTTGTTCTTAAGGAACTACTGTGGTATAAATATTTAATCTTCAGATGCTTCATAATCTGTAGTATGCTCATAACCAACTGACTTCTCAATGGTTAAGTTTGCTCCAAATTTTCTCCCCAGATCCATAAATCTTTTTTTATCATCCTCACCACCAAGCATCCATCAGGGATGATGTTGAATATTTTATTTCCAGTGATCCATTTAAAACTCTTATAGAGATTTACTTAAGCTGTTAAAGTATTGTCATGGAGGTTTTGTTAGAGAATAGGTGTGTTACCCAGTCATGCAGTTGATAAGCTGTGCTCCATATGTATGTAGATAAAAATCACATCTAAATATACTAACATAAAATTAGTAAATGTAAATTTTGGCACTGATCATTTGAAATGTTTGGAAACAGAATCAGCATAGAAAAAACTAACTATTGTGCTACAAAAATGAGATTTTCTGTTACAATTATGCTGCTTTTTTTGTGTCTTGCATTCATATGTTGGCCTTTCAGCATCTCTGGTTAAGGGAGGCACTATCTCAGTTGCAGGGCAGATTGTTGTTGAAATTAGCAGTCTGGAAATGAACAGGGGTTTTTTGTTTGTTTGTTGTTTGTTTTTTTAACTTTCATGTTACATTGACTGTATTGGCCTTGCAGAAGCTAACTTCAAGAAAAATAATTGTATGCCTGCACGTGTATGTGAAAGAGGAGATGGTTTTAATTCTTCTGCCTTATTCTCTCAGTTGTTGTGTGTGGGAGGGGGAAGATTTGATTGTTGCACTGGAGCTAATATTTGTAATGATTTTGCACAAGTAAGTCAAATTCTGTTTGAAAGGTGTCTGCTTAGGAGTCTTTAGACTCTTGCTTCAGGTGGTACAATATGAAAGGGTCATAGCACATGTTTGTATTTGTCCTTGCATAGCAGTCACTTTTTTAGAATGAATACTGTACAGGGAGGTGTTCCTGTGGCAAAAAGTACTAGGAATTAAAGACTGTAATAGAAATTATTTTGAGGACAGCTTGTTTTAAAGGGTGTAGGAGTTTTTTGAGCGTAGATCTGCATCAGTGTTGGCCTCACTTCCAACTGCCTTTCAATATTTCTGTAAAATGTCACTCTTATGAGAAGTCTTGTTCTTGGTGACTTCACAGTTGGAAAGGCTTTACTTGGCACTTGAATGTTTGATCTATATTCTGACATTCCAGAACTTCCACACCAGTGCACTTCAGGTGACCACCACCATGGATACCTGACCAGTCCTTTGTTGTCTTCTGTCAGGAGTGGTTTGCATCTTCAATTGTACCACAAGTCTGTCAGGAGTGACTTTTGGCTTTGAAAGCTGTGGAAATGGAGGTTGTTTTATCTCACAAATATCTGCTGGGTTTTAGAGTACTGGAATTCTCCATGGCTTGTGTTTGAGGAAGGGTGACTTTTTCTGCTCAACTTCAGAGTCAATAGTATTTGCTTTAAAAATGCCTTAATTTTGAATGCCTTAACTTGTATTTCTTGGTATGTCTTTGCTTTTTTCAGTTTGTGCATCTTGTTTTCATGGTAGTTACCACTTGGTGTATTTTAATGTGTGTTATCTGCCTAATCCTAATTTACTGAAGTAATTGTCTTTGTGGACAATACAAGTAACAGGGAATGCCTTTTGTTTTTCCAGGCTACAGGCCTTGTCCCTCAGTTCTTACCTGATGTAAAGAAACTTGTAGCTTCTGCATTTTGAACTGTTACTTTAGTGTGTGACTGTGCAATAAAGAAACACAGAGAAGCCTGTGCCTGTATCTCATTGTGCAATTAAGCTCTCCAAGTTAAAAAGTAGGTTTTTCTGTCAAGAAAATAACACAGTTCCTTCTTGAGAATGAACCAGTGCATTATGAGTGGAGCCTAATCAGATGTCAGACATTCTGTGATACTTAAAAGCTATGAAAGACTGCTGAACTGTATTATAATTGGAATGAAAGAACAATGACCTCTCTGTTGCCACTGCATTGGTGGAAGGATATCTAATTATTTGCTACATTCAGCTAGATGCAACGTGCTGTCTAAAATGGGATTCCAAATTTTGAGGATCTTTGCTAAACTGCTTCATCTGACCCTGATCATTAAACTTGACCTGTCAGCTAATCTCCTTCTTTCCGTTGTGTAATTGGGCTGGATAAAACTCAGTGTTGATCTGACGTCTGGTGAAACTCTCAAGAGTTTCACACTGTGGTTGTGGCAACAAGAATCTTATCAAACAACCCCTAAAAAATTTGGAGTAAAATTTACTTTTATAATTTAAAAAAAATAAATTGGCTAACTGGGTGAAATAAGAATTAATTTCTCTCTCTTGCTGCACTGTGGTTGTGGCAACAAGAATCTTATCAAACAACCCCTAAAAAATTTGGAGTAAAATTTACTTTATAATTTAAAAAAAAAAAATAAAATTGGCTAAGTAGGTGAAATAAGAATTAATTTCTCTGTCTTGCTGCTTAGCCATGCTTAGAGTCTAGATACCATATAGATAGGTTAAGCTTAGCTGAATTAACCTAAACCAACCTTTCAGGT